CAACATGTCTGCCCTCGCCGATCTCGTTCTCTCGCAACCCACCATTGGTTCTACCATCAAGGTTGACGGAAAGGCTACTGATGCCTACGCTATGCTCACGATTCTTAACACGGTTGTCCACCAGGAAAAGGAGCCCATGAACGATATCATCAAATACCTAATCGAGAAGGCGCAGAGTAGCTCGCCACTGGCACCCATTGCCGAAGTTCTCAAAAGTGGAAAACACGTGGGACTAGTGTTCTCTGAACGCCTTATTAACATGCCTTCTGAGCTGGCCCCACCGCTATATTCAATGCTTATCGACGAGGTTGAGGCTGCTGTGGAGGACAAGGAACCCTACGATTTCACCCACTACTTGATATTGTCCAAGACATACCAGGAACTCGAATCTAAATTGGATGTCGAGAATCAGAAGCGCAAAAAGGCAAAGGAGGAGGCCGGCATTTATTATTTCCACATGGAGGACGAGGTGCTGCAAAAACACGCGGTAGCGCACGGCAATTTCAATTACACAAAAGAGGACGAGTCGGCGGCAGACAGTAAACGGGCATTCCAAGAAATGGGTGTTAAGGCGCACGGGCACATGATTCTTATCGAGGCGAGCAAGTTCCCAGGGGCGGTCAAAGCTGTTAATGAATATCTCAGTGCGGCGCAATAGATGAAATGAAGCTCAGGCACTTGGTTCTAGTCTTTGCATCAAGTATTCCACCTCAACTTCCTTGGTTAATGGGATAACAAAGTCCTTGTACATTGAAACAACAGCGTCAACATCGATTTTCGCCGCTCCCTCGGTTCCGTCGGGGATAGACGGGTCCTTGCCGTATGTCAGAGCCTTGAGTCGTAGTCGCTCAAGGACCTTCTTCTCCACTGCTGCATTAGTGATGGATTCAGCGATGCCCTCCCGATCTTCAGCCTTGATAAGCCGAATATACTTTTCCTCGTCCGACCGGAATTTGGACTCTGCGACAAACTTGCCGAAGTGAATGCGTCGTGATAGAGCTTGCAGGCAAGCAATATCGCAAGTTGCGGTTGAGCCGTAGTTTTCTTGAGACTCACCCCGCTCCTCGCGTCCGAAATCGGGGCAAACTGCGGGGAGGAACTTTTCCGTATAGAATTTCTTGATCTTGTCGTTCACATTGACGCTGTTCTCATGCAAGATCTTGGGGTAGTTGAGAGGCTTGAGTATTGGGCTTTGCAATGCATCAGGGAAGAAAGGATATTCGTCAGGCGACTCGAAGCGTCGGATAAGGGATTGTAGCTTCTCCTGCTCGCGAAAATACCAGTCGAGGAAGCTCAGGTTCGCTTCAGGCAATTCCACAGCTCCAGGAATGTAGATCGTCTAGAATGATGACATGATTAATTATCGTTATTATGCGATCTGGGATCCTTCGGCTGGACCGGGGTTTGCATAAGGCGTTCTAATCCCACTTACACCATTCAATGCGAATTGCACTCTCTCGATCAGATGGAAGGTGATTGTGTCCTCAAGACGACTACCATTGTCAGTCCGGGTGCTCAATGGCAAGATAGATGGTACGGGGAGCCGGGAGCAGCTCATACATAAGTTGGAATCGGATTCGGGCCAGATCCAGTGCGTGTGCGGCATCGGCCATGTTGATAACGGTATCCATAGTGGTTCTGATTAAAATAAAATAAAAAGAAAGTAATCGAACGCCTTGGAGATGCGCTTCTGAGGTGTATGTATTGACCTGAATGATCCAAAGATTGGATCCAGGTCTCGTAAAAGACAGAATTCGGGTAATGAGTCGTCGTACAAAGTCAATGTTGAAGTACCGAAGGGTTAATCACCACCTATACCCATTAGTTGGTAGCATAAAGCGGGCACGGAAAGGCTGGAGCTCTGTACCTTACCAACTCGTTAAAAGATTGCAGCCCATGAGATGGTCGGCAAGAGCCCAAAGGGGGAGGGCATGGGCGGAACTAGAGCCGGCATTTCCCTTCCTTTCCTCCCACTTCCTGCGGCACAATAAAATTGAGCATGGAGGGGTAAGCTCGGGGAAGAGGTCGAGCTCGGCCTTGAACGTCACCGGAAGTGGAGGGCATTTTAAAACACCTTACAGGGCACAGCTTCACCTGTGCGCCACTATCCTCGCAGCCCCCAGCGATCATTCCAGCAGTTCCAGCGCTGTGGCATAAGTGTCGCATGAGCCAATTACAGAGGGATGGCATCCATCCAATCCTGCCTTTGCCCACATTAGCGTCTCGGATCAGAAGCCTCCCAAGCCCAAATCCAAGCCTGTTCGGGTCTTTTTTGCCCTCCACCTCAATAACCAAGGTTATCCCGGCGCGCGTCATGATAAACTCCTCGTGAGCTGCCAAATCTTTTGATTCTTCCTTGTGCGAAGCCTCAGCGTCAATCTTGCACCCCAATCCAATCGCTCCAAGGCCCTCCGATTCTCTTGAGCTTCTGCACCTCCGCCAGGAGCTAGGCCATGGCGAACCAAGAGACTCACTATGGCTTCGACGAAGGCGGAGATGACGACCAGTCTATTGTGTCGGTGTGTAGATACCTACTCGAGTTCCATTGTCTCTTGTCAAACGGACCGCATATAGCTAACCTCAATGCTTTGTTTCTTGGGTAGACGCGCGGACTCGAGGCTTTCAGTCGAAAGGTCACAACCACAGCTACTCATTTGATCGGACCCAATGCCGAAGCCACGGCCCATCACTACCAAACCGCGATGGCTGAGGTGCACAAACAAATGAAGCGGCCGACGGTCCAGCGAAGCATGTTCGCGATGGCCAGGACAACCCCAACCGACCTCATGCGCTCCAGACTTTCAACGCACGAAATCCAGCATCGCGCTTTGACATACCTTCCCGATGAACTGCTCGCCAATATTCCCGAGCATGACAACCCATACTCGCTGTTTCAGGGTTTCCAGGCCAGCTTCCCCGAGCTGACTGACGAGGGCAAAAAGTTCCAGCGACGAGTCACCCGCGGTCGCAAGATGCTGGAAGACTCAGATGGGACGCCAGGAAGCCCCAAAAAATTGACTCAATTAAAAAAAGAGAAGGCCGCCATGATGCATGAGTTTGGGCTGCTGGGCACTCGTAAGAGCATGGCGAGCTACGAGATTCGGGAAATCGATAACAAAATAGCTAATCTCCACGGCATGCGAAGAATTATTCTGGACAGGCTCGCTGGGTTGGAGCAAGATGAAGCTATGCTGGAGCACGACAGTATGTGATGTGCCAAATACGTGACAAGACTCTACTGACTTGACAAGTTTCCGAGATGGAGATCCGAGTGGATGAGGCGCAGGCGCTGGTTGATGAGGCTGAGGAAATCGCACGAAACACACGAACCCAGGACGAACAAGATCTGGTAGGCGATGCCGATGATCACGATCAAGAGTTCATGTCCCAGTCAGTTTATGATAAGATCCCCTCCTCAGAAGCAGGCAGCACTCCCCGGAAAACGAAAAAGGTACATCGTAAGAAGTCAATGCCCATTCTGCACGAGCATTTCGAGCCTGGCACAGCCATTCGCGAGCTCCGAGCACACAAGGACACGATTACAGCTATTGACTTTGACGCCCCCTTCGGGACTATGGTTACTGCTGCGCTGGACGATACAGTCCGCGTTTGGGATCTCAACGCTGGTAGATGCATGGGTTATTTGGAAGGGCACACTGCTTCGGTACGCGCCTTACAGGTTGAGGATAACATTCTCGCAACGGGCTCTATGGATGCGACCATTCGACTCTGGGATCTCAGTAAGGCGCACTACGACCCTCATGGCGGCTTGGGAAAAGACGACGATGAGGATGCTATCGCTTTTGGAACGGATAACCATCTCGAACCCCCACCTGGTAGCATGGCTGATTGCCCTCTGTACACATTAGAATCACATGTCGACGAGATCACAGCCCTTCACTTCAGGGGCGATGTTATGGTTTCCGGTTCTGCAGACAAGACGATTCGCCATTGGGATCTTGAAAAGGGACGTTGCGTGCAAACATTAGACGTTATGTGGGCGGCGGCAGCAAGTATGACGACTACAGACAGCGGGTGGCGACCTACGGGGCGGTCTCAGAGCAGTTCGGCCGACTTCGTGGGTGCATTGCAGGTCTTTGAGACGGCACTCGCTTGTGGTACCGCAGACGGCATGGTACGACTTTGGGATCTTCGAAGCGGCCAGGTCCATCGCAGTCTAGTTGGTCACACAGGTGCAGTTACATGTCTCCAATTTGACGATGTGCATCTGGTGACGGGAAGTGTAGATCGAAGCATCAGGGTACGTTGTTCTCTTACATTCTTCCAAGTACACCGTGACTAATTGTGACCACAGATTTGGGACCTTAGAACAGGGTCTATTTACGACGCATATGCTTACGACAATCCAATCACAGACATGATGTTTGATGCCCGAAGAATCGTCAGTGCTGCTGGTGAGGACGTTGTCAAGGTGTACGATAAGGTAGAGGGACGACAATGGGAATGCGGCGCCGGCATCACGGCCGCTGAAGAGGGTAAGACTCCCGCCATCGTGGAGCGTGTACGTGTAAGAGATGGATATCTTGTTGAAGGCAGAAGAGACGGCGTCGTGGGAGTATGGACGAGCTAAGATATACGTGTGTAATCTGTAAAGAAATAATGAAATCCACTCATGACGACTTGAATCATGAGCAGCGCTTTGATCGTCCAGTTTGTGGCTTTATAAACAGAGTAAGAGCTGAAAATGCTAGAATGGTTCACTACATAAGAATAGACGCTGGGCTAGATGCTAATTACTCGATCAAGATGCTCTAGTAGATGTAGATCATGTTGAAAAACATTGTGTGTGAAAACTCCTTATCATTGGGTGCTTAGTACGACCAATTCCACGGTTGAGCGGTGATGTGTCAATTCTGTGTGCTTTTACACTTTTATTGATCACAACACTTTAGTCCTGGCGGATGACAAGCATCTTGAAACAACACCGTCTTGAAACGAAGGCTGATTTGAATCTCATTAAATTATATCTCTCCTAAAATATGGCGTCAGCGGCATATGGGAAAATTCTCGTCAGGTATTTCGAGATAACTCAAGAGCTCGTTAAGGCACCAGACGCTCGGTCGAGAACGGCAAATACACGCTCATCAAGCCCTCAAGAGTCCAAAGGGGTTTCTGAGAGAGTTTTAGGAAAATCGACAGACTCCGCTGCGCATACAGATCCCACAGGAGATGCCGTGGCTCGGCTTCTTGCACAACAGGCTCATGCATTGATCACAATCCACAAAGATTTGTCGTCGAATAAGAGCATTGTCAACGTCAATCAGGGTCTCCTCAAAAGAAGAATAGCAGACTTGATCTCCATCTCGTCATCCAAATTTTACGCCTACCGCTATGACCTCCTCCCTGTCGTATGGCGTCAGATATACACTGACGCTTCCATCCTTGACTCTTTTAGCCTCATTGTGCAACCACTCATAAATGATGGCATTGTCCCAGATGAGCTTCTAGATCTTGTCGTTGAGAAGCTTGACAGAGCACTCATCACGGCTGGTGGTGGTGGACGACAACAATGGCTGGAAGAGACGATACGGATGCTTGAAGTAGCCTGGACGGCGAATGAGGAACCTGAGAGGCCAACAAAGCGTCAAAGATATGACACTTCGACGCAATGCTTTTCCAACTACCAGCCTCACGGACAACCGAGGCTCTCACCTACGAGGGAATGTCCTCGACACTCGGGCTGGACAATGCCACAGTTTGAAGACTACATGAATAGCAACAACCGAGAGCCTCAGCCTGTCATCTTCACAGATTTAATTACAGGGTGGCCTGCTCTCACAGACCGCCCCTGGAAGGATCCGGAGTATCTCCTCTCTCAGACTTTTGGGGGGAGACGTCTGGTACCGGTTGAAATCGGTAGAAGTTATGTTGATGAGGGTTGGGGACAAGAACTTATACAGTTCCGCGATTTTCTTGATCGCTATGTTACAGGACAAACAGATAGCATTGGCTATCTCGCCCAGCATAACCTCTTCCATCAGATCCCTTCTCTTCGTAACGACATATACGTACCGGACTTCTGCTGGGTCGACGTCCCACCTCATCCAACAACTCCGTCTCTAAATCAGCCGCCAGTTGACCTGCCCCAGCTCAACGCCTGGTTCGGCCCAGCGCGCACTATCACGCCTCTTCACACCGATGGCTATCATAACCTGCTCTGTCAGGTCGTTGGAACAAAATATATCCGTCTGTATCCTCCTCGCGCAACATATGCGATGCAGCCGCGGGTATCCGAGCATGGTGTTGATATGAGTAATACGAGTAGATTGGATGTAGGTGTGCTTGAGGGATGGGATGAGAAACCTAAGGATATGAATGACGAAGATGTCCAAAGGATGAGGAAACAGCTCGAAGGTATCGAGTATTGGGAGTGTATCCTTAAACCAGGAGACACACTGGTTATTCCTATCGGATGGTGGCATTATGTGAGAAGTCTAAGCGTGAGCTTCAGTGTAAGCTTCTGGTGGAATTAGCAGGCCATGGGGCAAGTAGATCCACGGGTGGACTTCACACGCATCTGCAGGAGGCTGATACACACATTTCAGCGACTGTGATGTGATAAGACGACAATGCGGGTCGTCAACATTGTCAATCCATTGCCTATGGACAAGACTCTGCTGATCCAAACTCCTGTGGGTTTTACAGAATATCAAAAAGACTTGTGATCCCTTCGTTACCCAGTTGTCGATGCATCATCCACGCTCTCACTCGTTCCTTGGGCCTCTCTCCGAGCTTTCGCCCCAGCCTTCAGTGTCTCCCACTTCTCACGATACTTGTCCAAAACCTTTTGCATCTTTCGATTGTCCTTTTCAAGTCGCTCCATCTGTTTAACGGCTGCGGTTAGCTGTTCTTCCAACTCTTGGTTCTTGCGTCGTAAGGATTCATCGGCAACTTTGCTGGTATGTGGTGAAGCAGTGGGCGATCCAGGGCGCATGAGTCGGTAACTTTCAGCAAGAGCCATTGCGGAATTCTGAGCACTGGCTTCAAAGGCGTGGAGCCGCTTGGTAAGCTTATCAAGCGTGTCCTTTAGAGATTTATTTTCAGTGTATAGCTCTTCGATGATGTTGTTGAAGTCCTTGTCAGTGCGGGCACGGCCAATACGACGTTTGGCTCCAGGCGACAGCGGGGGTGCTTCTCGTGCATCCACAAAGTCGTCGTCATCTTCATCAGCAACATCGAGAAGATCACTGTGGGATGATGCCCCTAGTCTTCTCTTTTCCTTCTCGGCAAAGCTGAGAATATTTGCATAAGACATAGTGTGGCCAGTAGTGGGTACAACGTAGAAAGAATCGTTAGCTCCGTGTCCTTCTCTAGCAAGAGCCTGCATGGTAGCCTTGGAGTAGATCTTGCTAAGGTCTGGTTCTAGGACCTTGGAGGGGGACGCCTTAAGGTGACTACGCTTGGGACTGGGGGACATTTCTGGGGAGTCAGGTGTTTCTGAAATGGTGGATTCCTCTTGGATTAGTGGCAGACCGGCAAATGCCAAAGGTGCTGAGATCTTATTGATGAGGCTCCCAAAGGTGTTGTAGAATCGAGTATATCCTCCGTCATCACTGAGTGCCGCAGAGGGGGCTGCATCGGTGCGTGGGGACGATGAGGCTCTACCGTAACTATCGGAGCGTGTGGTTGCAGGAACAGGTGGTACCCACGTCGGCTTGCCAGGCTGGTGATCGATGATAGTCTGCATCTTGGCCTTGGTTCCGCGAGGGTGCGAGGCTGCGTCTAGATTTCCGGGAGCTTGGTCATTGGAAACACTGGGCGCGAGAGGTTGGCCTCTGTACTTTGATCGGATGCCACGAGCGGTAGCCAAGTTACTGGCGATAGAAGAGGACATTTCCCGAGGAGCATATCTACGCTGGGTCGGAGGGGACAGTTTCTTTGACGCCGTAGAGTCCTTCTTGTTTTCTTTCTTGTCGTCCGCGTCTTGTGTGGGGAGATTCGCCTTGGTTGACGAATGCTTCTCGTTGAGATCGGCATCGTTGGTCTGGGAGGTAGGTTCGGTCGGTCGGTTTAAGATCTCGGCGATCCTGCGATGGTGTTGTTCTAGGAGCTTCAGTGTTCGCAGAGCTTCGATGCTGGAGGTTGATCTAGCAGCGTTGGCGAACTCGCCAGCAGCTTGAGTATGTTCCGTGATTGCGACTGTGCTGTCGGAGGAGTGGTGAGCGACACTGGCGGCGCGTACATGATCGTGTGCTTTTACAAGCGGAGACGAGTCCATTGTTCCATATGTAGTGAATTTCAAGAGAGCTTGGGTTTCCCTGGTGTGCTATGAGTTGTTGGTAGCAGGTTGGGTTGTTATCGTAACGTGATGAGGTCAAATGTGGGGAGGCACAAGACCACTGGTAATGGCGTTTGAGTGGCTCCGGGCCCAGATATGTCTAGGTAGGTAGGTATTCCAAGTTGGCGATGACTCTGACGGGTGGGAAAACGACAGGCAGAGCTGTTACAAAAACATGCTTCATAGGTTGTTTACGGCATTTCGAGGATCTAGTAACACGAGATCCTACTACCAAAAACGCATTCACTATGAGATCAAAGGCTAGATGGAATAATGGATGTCTTGCCTTCCTCTTGACACATCAGTCGCCTCATACCAGCAGTAACATAAGGTAGCCCAAAGTGTTATACTGTTGGCGGGGTTAAGATTAATTACCTGCTAGACGCCCAGGCACGCAGAAAGTGATTGGGAATTTCATGACGACACTGACTCAAATGTGGAGAATGACTGCGGATTATGAGGCACCTCCTCCGTAAGATAAAATACGGGGTAATAATGCAGTGTATTTCAATATGTTAGTACTGTCACATTTTTATGTATAAGTAGTTTCCTTGGTAAATATGCCTGATTTATGATATGCACAAGTGAGTAGTAGGTATGTTATGGTCTTGGTCCAGCCCTTTTACCCTAAAGCATACCTAGAACTAAAGAACAGTAGGTCGAACTTTTCTATACCAAATCACACAAGTCCCCTCGACAAATAACGTCATTCTTGGATATGTATTACGGCTTTCAGCCCTTCTCTCCATGTTTGTAGGCGTATTGCATACCTACCTAGTACTTACTTGTAGCCTTGAGGTTCAAATTAATGCGTGTAGTGAATAGGTCCAGTCTACACCACCAGAGCACCAAAACAACTATTTTTCAAACAAGCCCTTCTGGCTTTTGTCTTTGCCCCTTCTTTCCCTTTCCACGCATATGACTGAGATCCCGATTATGATTCAGTAAAACACTCTGTTATTTTCATAGCGAACTTGGTACCTGCTTTGCGCAGATGTGTAAGGAGTCTAGATGTTACTGCGCCACAAAGTCTCACCCAGCTCTCCCACCGACTTCAAACAAAACCCCATTGTTTGGCCAGAGCTTCAGCAGGGATCAAGTCTGACTGGTCCCACCAGCTAAGCATCCGCGGATATCATCATTGGCGCCCTCACTAGTCCACTTCACAGGGATGCGTACGCGGGTTCATCGGTTAAGTTTAGAGCTTCCATTTGGTTTCGGTGGTTGGCTGGTTGATTCGGACTCTAATATGCCAACACCAACCGAAATACCTACGGACTTGCAAGCTAATTCACATCCCCTGAAGTCACCCTTTATTGATAAAAGCCACAGGCTTGGTTAAATGCAGTACGCACCCACTCACACACAGGTTGGAAACCACGCATGCGGTTGAAGTTGGATACCACCCAATCGAGAGGAATTCCACAGAAATCAAATCGAACAAGACTTGACCCGACTTGGCGTGGTCCAGGACCTCGTAGTCTGGCCCGTCATATAGTCGAGCTAAAACAAACCAACGACGTCAACTCTCTTATCCTTGGCTCCATCGCCATCCAGCTTTCCACGACAAGACCTCATTACTTCCCAGTCCCTAGCCTTCGACCTTTATCGAGTATTGAAAATACATAGCCCAAATTTTTCATACGAAAATCCTTGCGAGTACCGCCAACCACGACCAGCGTTTCGCAGCGCTGCCGCCACGTCGAGCGCATCCACTCCAACACCTCCCGGACACGCAACAACGAGCGATTCCGGCTTGATCCCTCATATCCTATTCGTCCCTCGACAGCAGGAGGCTGCGGTACACGGCGACAGCGACGGCAACGATGTCAACGACTTTGGACAACAGCAGCAACACTGGGCTGAACAAGCTGCTGCCAAAGTCAATATCCTCCAAGCGACTTCGAAGGAAACAAGACCGTGAACAGCCAGGGCTGTCCTATGACGATGCCACTGTCTTTGCACATTCACAGTCGAGTCGAGAAACTTTAGAAAGCGATGGTACACGCTCTGGGCACATTGCAGGAGACGAGGATGAGGGAACAAGCCAGAGCCATCGCTCCTATGAGTCCGATGGAGACGAATCGTGAGTTCTATCAAATTTACTTGTCTCTCCCTGTTCTGTTTTTGTTTCCGTTCTGCTTTTCCCCTGCCGTCACCAACTGAATTCTTCGTGGCAATGATCGTCGGCCTCCATGTTTTTGCTAGTTCTGTTGCGTGGGAACAGCTGCGAGGCTGAGACCCTCTCGGTCAGTATCTGCGACATCCATGCTTAAGTGGCACCAAGAGGAGAGACAAACCGTTCTACGTAACTTATTGCACTAAGAGAGGGATGGCAGATCAAAGCTCCACACGACGCTATGATCGCCCATACTCGCGCTGACAAGCTTCACTACTCGATTGTTTGTCATTGCACACTTCCCAGCTACCTCTCTTACAACGTCGCTGTCTTCCTGCTTCGTTTTGTTTCTGGTTATTCTCGTGCCCAGCAGGCTTGGCACATCTGCCGTCCTCCCCGTGTCCACTTCCCTAGCAAACTCCACTTATCGGTGTAACCGTCTGTGCTCTCTACTGCATTTTATCAATCTAACTGGAGCCGTCGTCACTCTTTAGATCCAACTCTCGATACCCGCCGCCTTTCTCTACTCATCCTTCTCAAATAGGCCACCTAACGACAAACTCTTCCGTCGTACAGGCAAAGTATCAACCAGAATCACAGCCTTCGCTTTCAGACGTCGAATCCAACAGTAGTGCTTCAAAATCGTCAACTTTCCCAGCATCGCGAACAGACTCCATCGATTCAAAAGATCCCCGGATCGGCCGGAGTAAGACGGGCTTGCTCCCTCCCCAAAGTTCCGCTCGTCGTTCGCCATCACCTGCTGGTAGACTCAAGGGTATATTCAAGCCCAAGAAGAGCTCTGGGAATAACTCGAGTCCAGAGCGTCGCCCAGCAAGCGAGCCCCAACCATCGTCTGAGACTCGCGACGAACAACAGCCCACCATCTCAGTGGATCCAGATCCTGATCAAGACTTGCCAGTTCTCGAGCCACCAGCTGCAGCTAAGGTTGCTTCGCCCGAAAGACGGACGAGGATACAGCCCAAGGTTGACACAAATATCCCGCCTCGAACTCCTCCAAGCGGTGACAAACCTGCCCCGGTTATAGTAAACACCCCACCTACACCTACTGAGTTCGC